AATCAACTCAAGATACAACTAATAAGGAGTATATGATGGTATTTCAATACGCGAATAAGGGAATCTTTATAGTTTTCTATCTTCAACTCTTAGAGATCTTAATTGGAAAAATAAATTAAAGTAACTTGTCGATATATTTGCAAATCTAGCAAAGATCTAGAAAGAAGAATAAATCTGATTTGGAAGATATTTTGACATTATAGCCAAGATTTTTACGGAAGGAACCCTTCATTGCTATGTTGAGTATGATGTGGCGTTAATTGTTCAAATATGTAATGGACTATGTCCTAGATTTGCTACAAGCACTCTTGAATGCTATACTCAATTAGCAAATAACTGGATATTAATCCTTTTAATAGACCAACTGCATCTGATATATACGATGAATTATGGAAATGGTATCAGATATTAAATTATAGTAGCGAAGAAGATGAAAATAAATTAACAATATTAAAAGCATCCCTACTTGCAGAAGCAATTATTCCAATATGATCAGCCAAATTGCTAGTTTGCCCTGAAGATAAACTCACAAGTAAACTGCTCTACAATCAACTAAAGCAAGAATGAATAAGAAGTTTGATCATTAACAACGAATTCTGGATGCGATCACGTGAACCGAATAGTGCTAGTGCACTTGAATAAATTCTCAAGCTAAGATGGAAGTTCATAAAGAATTATCTACAGAATATTAGACGATGAAAGATTTAAATATACGAAAGATAGGTTGCACTTAAACTAATTCGTACTAGACAAGAATTTATTCACGAATTGAACTTACAACACAATTAAAATTTAAGATCTTATATTTAAATTACCGATCTAATTTTAAGATATGATTCTGGAAGAATCACATAAAACAGGGAGTAGTATATAAATGTTATAGTTTAAAATTTTTTTTTAAATATAACATTTATTAACATCTGCTTTAACAAAAATTATAAGCTTTTTAATATTGCTAGACAAAGTAATATCATATTACTTACTATTACTATTATACTCCGCAAATTATTTTATACTTACTAATTCAGTTTGTATAAATTACTATTTTATATAAGTTTTAACTTACATAGATTCAAGAATTACAAAATTGGCTGAAGTATCCAAACAAAGTTTAAGAATCAGAAGACTTTATTTCTCTTTAAGGATATATAATACCCTCACATATTATACAGAACGATTTATAGATGAAAGAAAAAGAAAAATTTTGTGATACGTTATTAGATAGAAATTACTCAAATCACTACTTATACTAGAAGAAAGAATGACCATCTTATATGAAAAATTAATACGGTTTTAAATTGGATCTCTCGATAATAGTGTCCTATGATTTTCTTACTAAATGCTATATGATCAAGGAACACTATTTTTTATTATTTATACCTATACAACCACAGATATCATATGACACTATCGTCGAAACAAAACTTTGAAAATTGGAATAAGATCTTCTACAAAAAAAAATAGATCCCCTATATATACAATGAAACTAAAAAGGATCTTCTTCCTCTAATAATTTCATCAGAGCTTCATAATGAGCTTCTGCCTCTATTTGATGATAATCATTCTCTTCTCTTTTGAACCAAGGAATCTCAGATCTACTACTTCCTCCTGCTTCTTCAATATTTATTTGGACTTCATCTTCTACATCCTCTATACTACTAGAATCTATATCTTGTTCTTGTTCCCATTCTCTATATGCAATTTCATTTGATTATCGATGTCTTCATCATTTTCTTTAACTTCTAACTCAGTTGATCTTTCTTCTACATCTATTGCATATTCATCCCATCCAATCATTCGCATACTATCTTCATCTTCATTAGTAATACTATTACTTACTTCTGTATCTTGATTTCTTTTAGTAGTATTAATTTCTTGTTCTTCTCCATCAGATTTATTATTGGAAACTTTACCCCAACTATGTTCACTTTCTTCATACATTTCACATTTTTCTCAAAGTTGTTTATTTTCTTTTTCCACATGGTCAATCCACTAATTTCCTCTAAATTCTTAAGTTAATATTTTAGTTATAATAACTATAAGTTAAAATTTTACTCTTACTATTGTAATTCGTTCTTTAATCCTTCTTGTTCTTCTCTCACTATTACTATTTCTCCTTCTAGTTCTTTTATTTTTTCTAATTTTACTTGTAATTTTTGTTGTTTTTTAGTTAATTTAACTTTTAATTCGTCAGTTAAATTTTTTAGTCTCCAATTTGTGGAATACCATTCTTCTCGTTCTTTTCGAAAATTTTCTCCTGCTTTCTTAGCTTCTTGATCTTCCCCATATTGTTTTATTTATTATTTTAATTTTTAAAGTTCTTTTGATTTTTTTGCTGATTCTTTTCTGAAATATCTAATAGTATTATATAAAGCATCTTCTATTTCTATTGCTTTATACTTGTCTTTTTCTTTAGTATATAATAGTTTAGTTAAATAATCTATTTGT